TTATTTGATATATTATAATAGTTTGAATAATATTATAATTGAAAAAAAAATCATGCAAAATAATGCGCGTAAATTATAGTGTGACCTTTTTTGCACTAAAAAATATCATATTTGGGGTATTAAAATCGTAATAGGCAATAAATACTTTCTTGTATCAAGCTTTTTTATTACTTTAGTGCTGATCGGTCAAAAGTATCGTCTAATTTAAAATAATGAAAGAAAAAGCTGGGGCCAGTGACGTAATTTTTTAAATATTGGTTAAAATATGCGATTTTCAGGAGAAAAACAATGCAAATTTATCTTTACTTTTTAAATATATCATTCTTCATTTTTTGGCAGTGTGTTGAGTGAATGTGTAAAATTTCTTTTTAAAATATTAATTGAAACATATATTTGATATTTTTAGCATATAGTTAATAAAAAATCTCCGAGTAAAAATATGTAAGGCAAAAGTTCCAGGATATTAAAACCAAACAACGGTGTAGATTTGAAGATTTTTCTTCTAAATATCCTACCAACACAAGAAATAGTCCCCTATAAATCTTGTTTCTTTACAATTTTGTGAGCAGTTTTTAAATTGAATGTTATATAATTTGCATTGTTCAATTCAAATATGTCATGAAAACTGAATTGTAATAAATAATTTTGAAGTTAGAGGTTCTTACGAATCTTTTCTCAGCTGACGAGTGACATTACACATACCTTAAAAAAAGTATTGCTTGTTACAAAAATGACAATACGCAAGTGCAGTTTTCTTTGCCGCCAGAGAGAGAGAGAGAGAGAGAGAGAGAGAGATTGTATTTGGTCCCTTGATTTTTTTGGATAAAGTACATCGAAAAGTGATTTATATGTAAGACAAAGTGCAAAAAGGTCACCATAACACCAAAAGAACCACATTGACCCCCATTTTTTGTTGTTGATTTTTAATCAAACTATGCGTGTTAATACTAAATATATACTTGACATTTTTTAGCTCACCTGAGCTGAAAGCACAAGTAAGCTTTTCCGATCATACATTGTCCGTCGTCCGTCCATCTGTAAACTTTTCATATTTTCAACTTCTTCTGAAGAACCGCAGGGTCAATTTTAACCAAAGTTGGTACAAAGCATCCTTGGGTAAAGGGGAGTTTAAATTGTCAAAATGAAGGGCCAGGCCTCCTTGCAAGGGGAGATAATCAAGAAAAGAGAAAATAGGGTGGGGTCATCAAAAATCTTCTTCTCAAGAACCACTGGGCCAGAAAAGCTGAAACATATGTGGAAGCATCCTGGGGTAGTGAACATTCTAAATTGTTCAAATCATGACCCCCGGGGTAGGGCGGGGCCATGATAGGGAATGCAATTTTTACATTGAAATATATAGGAAAAATCTTTAAGAATCTTCTCCTCAAGAACCACTGGGCCAGAAAAGCTGAAACTTATGTGAAAGCATCCTTGGGTAGTGTAGATTCTAAATTACTTAAATCATGACCCCCGGGGGTAGGGCGGGGCAACATTAGGTATAACAAGGGGGAAATCTGGCGAAGAATAGCAAGACCAAAGTTACTCAGGTGAGCGTTGTGGCTTATGGGCCTCTTGTTAAAAGAGACTTTTGATTGCTGGATAGCAGGATCAACCCTCCTTAATTTATTTACAGATGGAAGTGATTTTGATGACTCAGAAAGCTGTTGTGAATGAACTTTACTTTTCCGATGGAAGTGCTTGAATTTGATGATCTGAAAGAAATCTAATCTTCGGGATGGGGTATGGCATTTAAAATTTTCCCCCAATTTCCGATTGGCATACTGAAATAACGATAAAATTTCAAATTATTCAAGTTTCAAAGCAATAAGAAGGTAAGAAAAGAAAAATTATTCCACACCTTTTCTTTGAAAAGGGGGGGGGGGGGGTTATGCGATGTATTTTTAAAAAAATTTTTTTTTTTAATTTTCAATTTTTTTAAACAAGTTTTTACAAACAATTCTCAGATAAAATTGCTTTACCGTTATAGAATTACATGGTTATGCATTTGAATTTATATATTCAATTTAACAATATATTTATTACAATTTATTTACATCTTACATTATTTAGGAGCAACAATTGAAAATGTTTTAAAATTCAAAACCCAACGAACAAGTCTTATTGAATAGTAATAGCTGTTTCCTTGGCCATCCCATTATGCTTTGCAAAAGTAGGACCTACAACAATAGGATATAGATACTTTTATGAGACTTCTACAATTAAACTATTCATCAGCTATACTTCAATTTAACTCCAAATGGACTTGGAATAGATATTGCAATGTGAAAAGTTTAATATTTCAAAGTCGGGTAAGGAATTTGCATATTTAAATAGTCATCTTTTTATGCTTTGAAAATCAGTTAAGGTATGTCACTCGTGAAATTCGTTATATCAAGGATTTTTTGAGAAGTATATTTTGGATGAGTACTCATATAGTATGACTCAAAATCGCAGAGAAAACAGGGGGTCAGTGTGCATCTTACTGATCTACGGTACAATTAAGTTGACCTTTTTGCACTTAAATTTTAACACTTTGGTTAATCACTTTAAACTTTATCATATTTTATCAAATGTAACCATGGCAATAAATATAATCTTATTTTTCGTAAAATAGTTTGAATAATATTTATCATTGAACAAATCTTGCAAATTAATGCGCGTAAATTATTGTGTGACCTTTTTGCACTAAAAAAGTAACATATTTGGGGTATTAAAAATCTAAATAGGCAATAAAATATTTTCTTGTATAAAACTTTTTACGACTTAAGTGCTGATCAGTCTAAAGTATCGAGTAGCTTAAAATAATGAAAGAAAAAGTTGGGGTCAGTGATGTAAATTTTGAAATATTTGTCAAAATATGCGATTTTCAGGCAAAAAACGGTGTAAATTTTATCTTGACTTCTTTAATATTTCTTCATTTCTCGGCAAAGTTTGTTGAGGGAAGGTGTAAAATTCGTTATAAAAATATAAATTGAGACCTATATTTAATATTCCTAGCATATCATATCAGAAAGTATTCTCTGAGTAAAAGTATGTGAGACTAAAGTTCCAAGATATTAAATTTAACAAATGTGTAGATTTGAAGAATTTTCTTCTAAATATCCTTCCACCACAAGAAATAGTCCCTCATAAATCTTGCTTCTTTATGAATTTTTGAGCAGTTTTTTCATTGAATGTTGAACAATTTACATTTTTTCATTTAAATATGTTATAAAAATTGAATTTTAATAAATAGTTTTGAAGTAAGAGGTTCTGCCTGGACTTTTCTAAAAAGCTGATGAGTGACATACCTTAAGCTACAATGGAGTATTTAATTGTGTATCTATATTTAAAATGGCAATATAAGCCGTACTTTTACTTTAATAAGTACACTGTAATTTCATTCAATTTCAGTTTTCTTGCATAGAAAAAGCACCAACAAAACGTAGATGGCTAAGTTTTATGCTGCATGAATATTCTGCTTCTGTAGTCATTGATGACTACATGAAGCAAACTAATTTATTCATGAAACACACAGATTAAATTTAACCAATATGCTGCATAAAATAGTGTTCGCACTATACTCGTTTTAGCTCACCAGAGCTGAAAGCTCAAATGAGATTTTCAGATCACATTTGTCAGTCCTTCTGTAAACTTTTCACATTTCGACCTAAGTAGTGTAGATTCAAGCTTGTTCAAATCATGACCCCGGGAGTTGGGTGGGGCCACAATGGGGGATCAAAGTTTTACATAGGAATATATAGGGGAAAATCTTCCATGATTAGTCATATTGATATGGAAGCATCCTCAGGTGGTGTAGATTCAAATTGACTCCTGGGCGTAGGGTGGTGCCATTATGGTGGATTAAAGTTTTACATTGGAATTTATAGGAAAAAAAATCTTTACAGTCTTCTTCTCCCGTCAACATGTAGACATGGGTCAAACTGTGCATATTTATAATTTATCTTGATCAGAGTCACATTTTACTGGATCAGATATTACTAAACTGATACTCGTACATGTGCATTCTTGATTATTTCAGGAATAGGTTTTCGAGGAACCTAACACAGCGGTGTATCGTTTCTTGTTTTGCATCCAGCATTAGGGCGTTTTAATGCCTTGGAGCTCGGTGCTTTTTTACGGTGCATATTGCTCCTCTATTACCTCAGTGACCATGGTTTTTCCTCGTCACTTTACGGTAATTTTGAGATAAAGCGTTCGCTTCGTAATCGGGAGGTCCGGGTTCTACTCTCGCTATGCCGCGTCAAACCTTCAAGATAAGACATAAACATAGGTAGTGACTGTTCCTTCACAAAGCGCCCGGGTCGCCCGCGTGGCGCAGTGGTTAGAGCGTTTGCTCTAGAGTCGCGGTGTAAGGAGTTGATCCTTACGTCGCGGGTTCGAATCCCACTGCGGAGGCCAGTCCTTTGGATGAGACCGTCCCGTGTCGCAGTAGGTGCTGGCACGAAAAAGATCCCTCACTACTCAATGGCCCAGAGTGCCGAGTATAGGTTAAAATTTGCAGCCCTCCACCGGCAAGTGGTGGCGTCACCATATGAGTGAAAAATTCTCGAGATGGACGTTAAACAACAAACAAACAAACGAAGCGCCCGGCATTAAAAGTGAAAGTCACGGGTCTTTCGAAATGAGACCTTAATCGATTATTTTTATCGACTGTTCATCAATTAAAATATAACTCATATTTAAGCCATTTCCTTTTGCAAAAAAATGGTCGCCGTAAGCGACGCGTGTTCATTTCATTTTAACCTTTTTCTTTGCAAGGTATAGCCCGCATAATTTAACAAGTAACAGTGATTACAAAATAATAAGAAAATTGCTATATATGTAATTGGTACACTTGTCAGCACACCGGAAACCGAAACTCCAAATTCCTAACAGAACAGGGACCATAGTGACCCCTAGTGGATAAGATAATGAAATCACTGATAAACAATAAATTGTTTTACGTAGTTGGAAAACCCGTATGAGCAGTTGAGTCCTTTCAAAGTGGACGGTGAAAAATGGATAAGAAGATAGAACAAAAGGATATAAAAATTGCCGCTAACACTGGAGATTATACGCTGAAACTTCGTTTATTTGGTCATGGACATGACGATTGGATAGATCGACTCAACAACGTCATCGTCCCTACCTTTCTGATTCTTTTTACAGTGTTTACAGGGACAGAACACCACTTCACAGGTCCCCCTATCCACTGCTGGTGTCCGGCAGAATTCACGGACACGTATGTTGCATACGTGAACTATTTCTGCTGGATTCGGAACACGTATTATATACCTCTGAACCAACCCATCACCGAAGAAGCGCGGGAAAATGAAGTTATGTATTACCAATGGGTGCCTCTTATGTTGGTCATCATGGCCCTTCTTTTTAAGATTCCTAACATTCTCTGGAGGTTATTTCACAAAGGTTCTGGAATTCAGTTGGATATAATTTCTCAAAAGGCTGCTGATACACAAACCAAGACCTGGGATGAACGCAACCAAACTGTAAAAAATGTAGCGAGTGTATTTCAAAGATGGGAGAGGATACGCATACCTCTGAATAAAAGTCCAATGTTTCTGGAGAGACTGGCGTCAAAACGGTCAGGATATTACCTTGCCAGTCTTTATATCGTTAAGAAATGTCTATACTGTGCAAATGTAATTGGACAATTTTTCCTTTTAGACGAATTTTTGGGACATGATTTTTACCTTCAATATGGCCTAGATATTTTTGGTGGTACCGTTGGAAATAGCACGGTTGGTTTGGCGCGTTTTCCAAGAGTTACAATGTGTGATGTACACATACGCCAACTTCAGAATTTGCTCCGTTGGACTGTACAGTGTGTACTACCTCTGAATATGTACAACGAGAAAATGTTCGTGTTTCTTTGGTTCCTGTGTGGATTGGTCGCTTTTCTGACTTGTGCTAGTCTATTGATTTGGATATGGCGTCTCGCGATACCTCGTAACAGGATCGCCTACATCAAGAAATTTCTTGTGAATTGTGAAGGAAACAATAAAGATCCACGGAATGAGAAACAAATCCAAAGTTTTATCCAGAAGGAACTTCGTGTGGATGGAATATTTGCTCTGTGGATGATCGAGCGGAATACTGGGTCGGTGTTTATAAGTGATTTGGTTAAAGAGCTTTGGAATATGTATAAGTAAAAAAAAAAAAATCATTGCATTGTATGCATGCTTGTATAAGTTTCATATCACCTTTCCATTAAATTACAGAGATTTTTTATTACTTTTATTATTTTATCATGGACTTTACTTTTATGATTGAAGTGCATGAATTTAATGAGCTAAATTTTTCTTCCGAGGGGAGAGTGTATTGCTATTACTTCGTTCTTAATTTCTTATTGGCATACTGAAATAACAATTAAAATTGTTCCAGTTACAAAGCATTAGAATACTAAAAACATCAAACTTCAGAAATTCTTTTATTGGACAATATTAGTTTGAATGCTGCGGATCATCTACAAACTACTAATCAATTATGGACGAACTTAAGAATTCGTATTGTTTATTCTATCTTTATTGTATATTTCAACATTTATAATGTATGTTGTTTTTTTTTTAAATGTTTCTATGATTTTATTTTGAATTGTTTACATTTAATTTGAATTATTTTCTTTATATATGTACGAGGGTTGTTCGGAAAGTTCGTTGAACACCGTCATAACTTTTTTTCTTAACGTCATATTATATCCAAATTTGGAAGAAATATTTCAACAGTAAATTCAAATGATGTGTATTAAAAAAAATTAAAATATCATGGTTTAGTTCAAACTTATTTAGACTTAAAAAAATGCGGAAATAGGATCACGTAGAACGTCACAGAGCAGCAGTTAACCATATACAATTTTGTGCTGTACTCTGGAATTTCCAGAAAAAAAAACTTCTGAAAATGTCGGAGGAAGTAGGAAATATGTCAAAAGCGAGCCATACATGTGTGTGTACATGGTACAAGCGGTATTTGAATGAGACTACTGTCCTAAGACGATGGTGGTCTGTGAGAAAACGGATAATCTGTAAAAATCTTATCAAAAATATTGAAAAGTTAGTAACGTCATGCTATGAGTTTGGTGCTTCACAGATGCTGATCTTGTGAAACACACTTATGCAGTGAAAAAATGACTTTGGCAAACAAAATGATGCTACTGGAACAAGCATTCTGAGAGTATTGCATTAGCAATACTAGTCCCCTACCGGCAAGTGTAATCTGGTTCCCGTTAAGAATTGAAAATGCCATAATTCCGTCAAAAATCAATGAAGTGGAACGAATTGCAAACTTGATCTATAACTAATCAAGGTAAAGCCACATACCAAAAATCAGCTCAATATCTACAAGCGTTTAGAAGAAAATTGCGGAAAACCCGTAAAAATTGAAACGTCCGTAATTCCGTCAAAAATCAATGAAGCGGAACGAAATGCATACTTGATCTGTAACTCATCAAGATACACCCACATACCAAAAATCAGCTAAATATCTGCAAGCGTTTAAGAGAAAAGTGCGGAAAACCAAGTGGGACAGACTGACAGACAGACAGAGGGACAGACAGACAGACAGACGGACAGACAGACAGACGGACGGACAGACTCAGATGAAACCTATAGTCCCCTCCGGTTTCACCGGTAGGGGACTAATAATCGTTAGCAAAATAGATTTCAAGTGATAGAGAAACGTTTTTAATGAGTGCACTGGTATTGGGCAAATCTGTGTGAAATGTATAGGGATAGTATTTTCGAGAACCTCATGTTGGTTTTTGACGTTACAGTGTTGTTGAGTTTGCTCCGTGGTTACTAAACGTGTTGATTTTAAAATTAAACAAGCATTCTGAGAGTATTGCATTAGCAATACTAGTCCCCTACCGGCAAGTGTAATCTGGTTCCCGTTAAGAATTGAAAATGCCATAATTCCGTCAAAAATTAATGAAGCGGGACGAAATGCAAACTTGATCTATAACTAATCTAGGTCAAGCCACATACCAAAACTCAGCTCAATATCTGAAAGCGTTTAGAAGAAAATTGCGGAAAACCCGTAAAAATTGAAAAGGCCGTATTTCCGTCAAAAATCAATGAAGCGGAACGAATGCAGACTTGATCTGTAACTCATCAAGATACACCCACATACCAAAAATCAGCTCAATATCTGCAAGCATTTAGGGAAAAAGTGCGGAAAACCAAGTGGGACAGACTGACAGACAGACAGACGGACGGACAGACTCAGAGGAAACCTATAGTCCCCTCCGGTTTCACCGGTAGGGGACTAATAACATGAAATCTATTAAATCACATGGATTGAAACTTCACACTTAAACAAAATAAATATTTTTTACATATGATAATGTACTCATTTTAAATTTCTTGAAGATAGTATAACGAAGATTGGCATAGTCCACGAACTTTCCGAACAACCCTCGTATATAGCTTTCTATTTATATATGTTCCCATTCGTACTGTATTTTAAAAAAATTGTATGTGTAATTTTATATTTCGGTAAATAAGTTCTATTGTGTGTTTTGTACTGTACAACACACCATTCATATTTTTTAATGTATCTTTTTGTATTGTTAGTAAATTTCAAATTTCAACTTACATTTAAGACTCTGATAATAGAGTTGAATTGTGTTCTATTATTATATTCAACGTGACAAATAAAACAGTCATATCATAATTCTTAATACAGAATACAGATGAACCCCGGCCTGAAATCAGCTTCTTATATATAGATTATATAAATTAAAACATTATAAAATGCAAATAATCTAAATACATAATAGAAATGGAAATTGTACAATATAAAAAAAGAAATATACAATAAAAAAATTATAGGATACAAATAGAAAACTTATAATGCAAATGAACAATTATATAATACAACTTGAATATCATACAGTTCAGATGGATGATTAAGGACGTTCGATCCCGAGCTTTTGAGCAGATTTTGGTCTGGAGCTTTATTTCTAAAATTCTGCATTATTTTTAAGTTGTAACATTAAATCTGGATTCTACAATGCAAATTATACTATATCCAATGAAAAAAACGCGATTAAAGTCCATTCAAATAGGATTAAGCTAGGAACTATATTTTGTGGCGGAAGATTTTTTAGAAGAAAATGATCATTTTTTTCCCTTTTGAAATATATACAGTACTGTTAAGTTTAGATTCCTATTTTTCCATGCTGGTTGCACACAGAGCTATTTTGTGCATTGAAATGTTTAATGCTGGTTCTAAAATATTAATTAAATCAGTTTTTGTGAATTCTATCATCATATTGTGACAAATATAGAAAATATATTCTGAAACTCCAGGAAAAAATTGAGACAATTTTATCATAAAATTAACAGTTTTTTAGTAATATCTAAAAAATATCATCATAGACCTCCACTTTTGATTTTCTTTTCTGAATATATAAGATAACTCTGATCAATCTACTTAAATTCAGCAAAAGTTTAAGATTTTAAAATATTTTTCTTGCTTGATAAATTTTTAATGCCCGAAAAATGACATTTTGTGAGTGCAGAAAGGTCAAATAATTGATTATGCGAAGCAATTTGAAAATTTTTCCTTGTCACAATTTTAATGTGTCTTTTTTAAGAGAGAATAATAACATACTTCGTCTCATGATTTATTTGGATAAAAAATATTAGAGGGAAAACGTCGAAGATGTTATTTTTGATTAAGACACAAATTCAGTGCAAAAAGGTCATTTTAAATGTACTGTAGCGCCAAAAGAAGCATATTGACCCCCATTTTTTGTTTTGATTTTTAATTAAGCTATGTGTGTAGAAGCTAAAAATATACTTGACAAAAAAAGTTTAAGACTTTAAATATCAGGATCCAACGTCGTTAAAAATTAAAATATACAAATAAAAAAAATATACTATACATATCGTGTATACAAGTATACAACAGACATACAGTATAATTTTTGAAAAAAGGGGGATATTTGACAACTTACCTGAAAAATCTTTGACAAGCAAAAAGGTATATTGTCCAAAAACAAAAATGTTATTTCGAGGGGGAGGGTTAGGGGTAGCGGGTTGGTGAGGGGTGCCCTTTCAATGAACATTTTCAACAGTACAAGGTTACGTTGGGGAAAAAAGCCCCCCCCCCCCTTCGATACTATGTGTGTGAATACTACAAATACTAGTAGACAAATTAGAAAATGGAAATCAGATGCTTTTAAAATGCCTAACATCCATTGAGAATAATTTTACAAATATACACTTCTGTGATATAAAATTCTCAAAGAGTGCGGTTTCAGAATTTGTTTCAGAGGTAGAGTGGTACTCTTTTGAAGTTGTACAAGAGAAGGCTGTGTCTACTTAGGCATTGACCGATTGTCCAGGACGTCCGCTCACCTTTAATTTTGGATTTATAGCCTCCCGGTATACTGAAATTGAAAAAAAAAAACTTGTGTCAAAAGTTTCTAGTAAACTTTAAATGATATAATAAAGATCACGGAAATTTTAAGAATAAATTCATTTATCCAGGAAGGACTCCGTAGGGTATATATGCCTAGTGAAAGATATCTTGTGGATTTTGAAGTGTTTAAGGACATAAAATGCTTAAAAAATTATAAAACGTTAAAACAATTTATATAGACTCCTTTATTGCTAAGAGAACATGTATTTATCCACGAAGTTTTCCTTTAAACCATTCTTAATCTTGATATAGTAAAAATAAATACTTCAAGCATCAGATGAGTTGGGATGTTTTTTAAAATAAATACACTGAATTTCCTTATATGTGACCACACAACTCATTAATACTTATACACGAAATATATCCAGGGAATCTATGAGGACATTTTGGAAGATCTCATTTTTTTCATGTGTTTGCATTGATGTTCAATATATTGTACGTATATATAAAGTATAGATTTTTGGAGAGAGTGGAAGAATGGGGATGGCTTTAGAGGAAATTTTCAACAATTTTTTGTGAAAAGCTTTTTTTCAACTATTACTATTAGCAGTGTATCTGAACTATGCCATACCTCGCCTAGATTTCATGTATCTATCGGCTACATCTTTATTCTGACATCGTTGAAATAATCATGTCTGCGTAATTTATTTTTTTTTGTTATTGGTGCATCACAATTTTATTATGAATGTTGATTTCATTGAAGATGTAAACTTGATTATAACACTCTTAC